TCAGGCTCTTTGAGGGATGCCTGTGTTTGTTTTCCTGTAGTAACCACTCCATCATGGAGAGGCTAGGTCTTGAGAAGGAATGTGCTCAAACTTAGAAAAATCCTTCAGAAGTTTTCGGTCTGTCTGCCACCATTAATAAATAAGTCTTGCTCATATTGTTTTTTAGCTGTGCAAAGTATTGAGTTTTGATAAATTCATACATATGACAGAGACTATCAACCCAGTTCTCGTGGAGGTGTTTCAGTCGGTCCTCAAGCCCCAGAGGCAATGGCAAGGCTAGCTCGGGAACAAGTAGAGAATATCTCAAGGATGGAAGCACCTTGGGTGTGCTTTCCCCGCCCCCACCTCCCCATTTTGAGATATGTAGATTTACACGCTGATGAAGTGTGATCCTAATTAATTAGTCTTATCAATTAAAACTAGGAGTCAGATATCGGGGCAATAACCTGAAATATCAGAGAAGCAGAGCAGCCGCCACTAGAGATTTCTTGCCTCTATGAATCCTCAGACCGAATGGGGCGCTAGGACCTGTCTTCACTTGCCTTGTATTCCTGTCTCCACCTCCCTAGTGCTAGGATTAAAGGCACGCCCCACGATACCCTGGCTCTGTTACTCTTTTAGACTGGTTCAATCCCGTGTAGCCCAGGGTGGCCTTGAACTCCTGATCTTCCTGCTTCCTCCTCCCAAGTGTTGGGATTAAAGGTGTGTGTTATACTGCCTGTCCTCTGTGGTTAGCTAGTGGCTAGCTCTGTCCTCTGATCTCCAGGCAAGCTTTATTTGTCAGAACACAAACAAAATATCACACAACATGCCACTGTTAGCAATATTACAGAAGCTGGGTGTAGTAGCTCTTTCCTAACATCCTAGTACTCAGGAGGCTGAGGTAAGAGGATCATGGCAAGTCTGAGTCTATCTAGGGCTGCATAGTGAGTTCCAAGGCAATCAGGACTACATAAAGCTGGGCTTCATAGAAGACCCTGTCTTAAGAGATTGAGGAAGGTGCCACTCTGCAGTTCCTGGAAATAGTAGCAGCCTGTAAATCAGAATCACTGTCACAAACAAACATTGAGGGTGATGTGACCTGCTGACCTTACTCAGACTTTTCCAGTGTTCTTTATTGTCACTCTTTAAAAAAAAAAAAAGTAAGCCGGGCGGTGGTGGCGCACGCCTTTAATCCCAGCACTCGGGAGGCAGAGCCAGGCGGATCTTTGTGAGTTCGAGGCCAGCCTGGACTACCAAGTGAGTTCCAGGAAAGGCGCAAAGCTACACAGAGAAACCCTGTCTCGAAAAACCAAAAAAAAAAAAAAAAAAAAAAAAAAAAAGTATTCTCTGTAGAAGAACGGACATCTTGTTAAATAAGAAACACAGAGCCAATGCAGAGATGAAAGCCCAAGAGGTCAGAGCTAAGAGCCTTACCCTTCACTGCTGCAGCTATCCTCTTCAGCCAAGAGAGCTACTTCCTGTTTGTTTGTCTGTTTTATAGACTTTCTATTCTGCCTTCTCATTGGTTGTAAACCCAACCACATCACCTCCTCGTTACTGCCTGTCTGTATAGACCTCCAGGTCTTCTATAGTTGGTATTGAGATTAAAGGCGTGTGTCTCCATGCTGGCTGTATCCTTGAACACACAGAGATTCGCCTAGCTCTGCTTCCCAAGAGCTGGGATTAAAGGCGTGCACCACTATCGCCCAGTTTCTGCTATGGCTTGCTATTAGCTCTGACCCTCAGGCAACTTTATTTATTAACATACAAATAAAATCACATTTCAGTACAATTAAAATATCACCATAATTATCTTGAGAATTTCGTACATGTATACAATGAAATATGATTATATCCTTTCCCCATTCATTAACCCCTCTAGCTCTCCAGAATACCCCAATACATCCCCTTCCTGGTTTAATGTCCTCATTGTTTTACTGGCTCTCAAGTCCAGAATGACCTCCAAGTCTCTATGTAACCAATGATGATCTTGAATTTGAACTTTGGATACATTTACCTTTGTCTCTTGAGTGCTGGGATTACAGGTGTGTGCAACCATACTTGATTTATACAGTTCTGGGATTCAACCCAGGACTTTGTGCATAGTAGTCAAACATTTCACAAACTGAACTACATCCCCAGCACCCACCAAGAAGAAGAAGAAGAAGAAGAAGAAGAAGAAGAAGAAGAAGAAGAAGAAGAAGAAGAAGAAGAAGAAGAAGAAGAAGAAGAAAGTAGTAGTCAGAATCTTGCAAGGTGTGGTGATGCCTGCTTTTAATCCCAGCATTTGGGAGGCAGAGGCAGGTGGATATCTGTAAGTTGGAGGCCAGTCTGGTTTACATAGCAAGTGCTAGGCCAGCCAAGGCTACATAGAGAGATCTTGTCTCAAAAGAAAGGAAAGGAAAAGAATAGACTCTCACTTTATGGTTCAGCCTGGCCCTCTCAGCAATCATGCCTCTGCTTCCCAAGTGCTGGGATTACAAATGGGAACCACCACATATGGCATAGATTTTTTTTTTTTTTTGAATAAGGGTCTCTCTTGATTGGCTGGCTTTGAACTCACAGAGATTCCCCTGCTTCTGCCTCCCAAGTGTTAGGATTAAAGACATGTGCCACTATGTCCTGCCATTCATTCAGTTTATTTTTTAACATTGCCATTGAAGTCTTTTTCCCCCTAATGTCACCAAATCTATTTGCCTCTAACACTTGAGACGGTGATAGTGAGAGGCTCAATCATGTAACTTTTCATGTTACATGTTTGCTTTGGTCATCCCCCATATCTTCGTAAAGATGCTTGTGTGCTATGTTGACTCTTAGCTCACAGAAGCATTTCAGTAGCCTTTGTAGGAAGTAATCTGTTTATCTGCGAGCTATGTTTTGGGAAGAGTGGGGCAGTTCTTGTCACAGTTGGCTAAATGTCATAAGTCTGGAGGCTAATGCCAAGAGCTACTGTCCAAGTCCTACTATCCACTTGTTTGCAGGTCCATGACTCATCAAGTTAGATGCTAAAGAGAAATGCACTTTAAATTCATGTTAATCCCCAAGAGTTAAGTTGCTAAAGAATCACACTATTGATCTGAAGGGATGACTCAGTGGCTAAGAGCACTTGTTGCTCTTGCAGAGGTCTTGGGTATAATTTTTAGCACCCACTGGTGGTTCACAATCATCTATAACTCCAGTTCTAGGGGATCTGATGCCCTCTTCTGACCTCTATGGGCATCAAGCACACATGTGGTGTACATACATACATGCAGTCAGAGCATACACACAAAATTAAAAAAATTAATACAATCTAATAAAAAGTTGTCTTAAATCCCAGGCCCTAAGCACACAGAAGCATTGATACTTTCTTTGCTTTTTATTCAGTGCTCCTAGGGAAAAGGTTTGGAGGGTCATTAGCACTTGTGTTGGAGGGGCACTTCTCACTGTGGCCTGAACATGGCTATCTTTTCATTAGGATAGGAGCCTTAGAGCAAGAGGGTAGAGGAACAGGTGGGCTCAGATCCTATGTGACATTTCCCCCCTTTACTTTTCTCATGTAAAGAATAACAGATGTCCTGCTTGGTCACTTCAGCTGTTCTAACTAGAGTGTCTTGGATCTGTCACCTTTGAGAAACTGCCAACCTTCCACTGATGATGCATGATTCATGTTTTCAGTTATAGCAATGCTTCAGGTTCTCCATCTCCTCATTGATACTTGTTGTTTTCTGTTGTTTGATAGATGCTGTTCTCACAGGTGTGAAATTGTATCTCAGTGTAGTTTTGTTTTTCTTACAGTGCTGGGGATTGAATGCAGGGCCTTGGGTATGCTAGGCAAGCACTTACCACAGTCATGCCTGAGTTTTTACCCAAGTGCTGAGGATTCAAATTCAGAACTGCAGGCTTTAATGGAAAGTGCTCTTAACCCACCGAGAAATCCCCCCAGCCCCTTACTGTGTTTTGATTTGCATTTCTCTTATGACAAAGATGTTTGAATACCTTTTTGTGAGATTATTGGCCATGTGTGTCTTTAGATAACTGTCTAATCAGATCTACTGCATGTTTTTATTTACCTTTATTATTGAATTAAAAGATATTTTAGAGTCTTGATATGTATCTTATCAGCTATATAATTTTGGGATGGAATATAGTTCAGTGGTATAGTGCTTACCTAGTATGTATAGGTCCTAGGTTCAGTTCCCAGTACTATGTAAACAGGCGTGGTGGCACACACCTGTAATGCCAGGACATAGGAGGTGGAGGCTGGGAGGATTAGCCGCTCAAAGTCATCCTTGGCTACAAAGAGTTAGAGGCTAACATGGGGTTCATAAGACGCTGTCTCAAAATTTGTATAAGTAACTTGTACATACTCTCTCCGTTCTGTGGGTTGTCATTGAAACATGTCAGTTTCTATTTATTTATTTTGTATTTTGTTTTATTTTTGAGACAAAGCCTCATATAGCCCAGGCTGGTCACAAACTCACCATGTAGTTGAGAATGACCTTGAGCTCCTGGTCCTCTTGCCTCTTTCTACTAAGTGTTGGAACTGCAGGCATGCACCATCATACCTGGCACAAGGTTTTAATTTTGATGAAATCCAATTTATGTTTTGTTACTAGTGTTTTTGGTATCTGACAACCCATTGCCAAATCTGAGGTCATGTAGATTTTCTTCTAAGAGTTTCATAGTTTTCGCTTTAACGGTCATTGGTGCATGTTGAGTGCACCCTATTCTTTGAGAAGAGGAGATCCTATAGCTCCAGAGTTGGGTCTGGGCTCAGGTCTTTGACCCTTTATCAAAGGTTAGTGGCCTTCTACCCTGGTTGTGAGTGAAGTGCCCATTGGATTGTAAATTTTGCTGTGCTGTGTGGCATGTTATAGGTCTAGGCAGGTGGGATCAGTAGCACATTTTGCTCTGGGTGGGTACACTGGTTCAGAGGGCTAGACTGGACTGAAGCTCATTGCCATTATCCTCCTAATTGTCTTCATTTCCCACTTGCAACATCCCCAAATGACCTGTGTGTTCCTCCCCTTCCCTAGATGTGGACCTGACTGTCACTGAGGCCAGCAGCTCAGACAGCCGAGGTGAGAGGGCAGAGCTCTATGCACACATCGATGAGGGCCTCCTAGGAGGAGAAACCAGCTACTTGGGCCCACCCCTCACCCCAGAGAAGGATGAAGCACTGCACCAGGCCACTGCAGTGGCCAACCTGCGTGCAGCACTCATGAGTAAGAACAGTCTGCTGTCACTCAAGGCTGACGTGCTCGGGGACGACGGCTCGCTTCTGTTCGAGTACCTGCCCAAAGGTGCCCACTCATTGTCTCGTAAGTGCAACTTCTGGTGTGTCGCTGTGTCCTGATTTGATTTTAAACATCTCATTTCAACTCTCAGACCCAGGTGTCACTGAGGAGGAGGAGGTTGTAACCTGTCTGTCAGGCAGATGGGCTGTGAGTTGCAACTACCTTCCAGCTACCTCAAGGTCTTTCAGGAGGTAGACTGGCTTTGAGTCCTATGGGACCAGCATGCTTGCTTTACAGGACAAGAAGGGAATTGGTATGTGTTGTTGGGCATCAAGAGGGAGCAGTGAGTGCTTGTTGGAATGTTTTGCGCTCAAACTTGAAGCATCTAAATCTAAAACCCACCAAGCTTAAAAGTACACACAATTAGTAAACCTAAACCCACAAACCCCCTGGAACCAGTGGCAGGTCTGTGCCCGAGAGAGTCTTTGTGTCCAGGAACAGGTACTGGCTCCCTCTGCTGGTCCACCACCAGCCTTTGTGCTGGGATTTGTTCTGTGTAGGAGACATGCAGAGAGCCGCTGACCCAGGGATGTGGAGCTTGCTTTGTTCTTGCTAGAGAGTGCTGGTCATGTGTATATTTTTAGAAAGGAGTTGGATGCTGCATTTAAGACCTTAGTGTGTCTAGCTGAAATCCAGACCACAGGCTGACCATGCTGCAGCTGAAGGGCAGCTGCTGTTTAGGAGCTGGCTCCCCCAAGGTGCCTTTTCCTGTGAGACAAGAGGCATTAGTATCTGCAGAGCTCATAGCCACAAGACAGGCTGCTTCCCTTGTCACGGTACATACCGACATATGTGATGCTGGGAGAATGGTGTGACTGCCCTGGGCATCAACCTAGCTCCAGAACTTCCTGTTTATCTGGTGCTCAGCATGAATGTGAGAAAATGACTTGATATTTTTCTCTCTGTGGGGAAGGAAGGGACATACCCTACACTGGAGACATCGAGTTGGGAACATGAGGGGTATCCTGTCCCAGGAAGCCCAAGTATATGTGTGGTGGTGACTGGTCATCCTCCAAGCCACTGAATTACAGGACAGTTTCCAGTTGCCTTTGATGCTGGCACTTTGGACCTTGTTTACAGTTTTGTTTCCATGAGCACTAAAACATTATTTGTTGGGCTTTTGTATTGGTTTGAGGAGTTATGCAAATTACTTATCGCAAATAAAGACGAAAGGTGGAAAATGATGTCTGCTCTCTTTATTTCCAAGTTACCTATCAAGTGGCCATGGAGGCAAGCTGAGACTACTTCATCAACAGTGTGCACTGAGATTATGCACACTGTCAAAAACACTTTAGGCCTTGTTTCCCACATCTGGGAAATGGGGATGGGGCCAATCCATAGCTGTTGTGATTGTTAAACAAACAGCATCCAAGAGTGTTGAACATGGCTTGGATAAACCAGTGTGGTGAGTGTCTCAAGAGCAAAGTCTATTTATGGGTACAGATTGTTGGATTCCTGAAAGTCCCAAAGTATTGGGACAGTTCATGGAGGTGGCTATAGGTGAATTGGGGTACCTGGAATTCACATGAACAGAGGAGTTCTAAAATTCAACAATTTTTGTGGATAACATGGGGCAGTGGAGATGAGGTGAGGTTTGGGTTATTCTCACTCTTTCTTCATACTCACGGGACATGTGTGTCCAATGTAGTGTAAAACTCCCCCTTCAGGGAAGGCTGGGGTAACAACTACTTGTTTGTTCCCTGGTTCCCCAGCTACTGTTTGTCTTTAAGAATAAATTTGGTGGTACGCACCTTTAATCCCAGCACTCGGGAGGCAGAGGCAGGCAGATCTTTATGAGTTCAAGGCCAGCCTGGTCTACAGGGTGAGTTTTAGGACACCCAGGGCTAATTAAAAAGAGAATCCCTGTCTCAGAAAGAGAGAAAGAGAGAGAGAGAGAGAGAGAGAGAGAGAGAGAGAGAGAGAGAGAGAGAGAATGAATGAATGAATGAATGAATGAATATAATATATAATTTTGGAATGAGGGAACTGGTTTGCAGGTTTTCTATCCTTTCTGTATCTAGTAGCTTCACTTTGGCATGAGCTCTGTTCAAAAGAAACTTTAGCCTGTTTGTGCTAGGAACATATAGTAGTCATATTCAGAATCAGAGGGCATGGCCAGCCCTAAAAGCTGATTTTACTTTCTATAGCAGGACCTCAAGGACCTTGAGGAAGCCCCTTCCTGTCCTGCTGTCTGAGTGACCCTGGTCCAGGCCCTCCTTGCTTTAGGAGGTGCTGTAGCTTAGCCAGGCCAAGGTAGCGCCTGGCAAGGACGGGGCTGTAAGCGTGCATTTTCCTTCTCAGATCTCTCTTCTGGTATGAGTTACTTCTCAGTCTGTATTCTATAAAGCTTGGAAGTGAAGTAGGGTAGCAAGGCCTCCTTGTGACCTCCTTTGAGGCTTAGCATATGCATCCTCATACTCCTGCAGATTGCCAAGGCTCATCCTGTTCTGTCCTTTACAGGTGGAATCAGCTTTTAGGTTTGATATTTTGTTATTTCAATGATGTTTTAACATCCTTATGCCACTGTTTTTATATAAATTTGTCCTTTTATTTTCTATGTATAGGGTTAGAGGTTGACAGAAAAATGCTGGATTTAGTGGTGATCACCTGTACTCCCAGCATTGAGGAGGCTGAGGCAGAAGGATCATGAGTTTGAATTAACCTGGGCTACATACTAATCCTGTCATTTTTTTTTTTTTTTTGAGTGGCAGGATTTAAGGTTTGGGTGTGAACTATAGAACTTTGACTATGTGTAGTACATGAAACATACCTGCTGGGCTGTAGACGCAGAAGAATGAGTAGGCTATTTTAAACATTATTTTCTAAAATCCTAAGTTAAGTCTGCCTGGTTTTGTGCTACATTAGAATGAAACATGGAAATATTCAGAAATAGATTCTTGTCTTCCAAAATGTGTGGCTTGTCTCACTGTGACAGGATCCACCACGAGTATCCATGATGAATAGTTGGCTATGGGGCTTGTGGCAAGGTTTAGGGATGGGTAGTGCTGATTCTGCTGGTGGCAAGCTCTGCAGTGGTGTAGAAAGGCAGGCAGCGCCATGTGCCCTTCTACCCACTGAGTGCGCAAGTGCGGCCTACTGTGCTACATGCGCCTGTGTGGAGCAGAAACAAGGATGGTCAGTGGAGTGTGATGGAGGTCTATTTCTCTGTGATGTCATCTGTTGCTTTGGACACTTGGAGGAAAGTCTTGGGCACGTTGGAACTTTTCTTCATGACTTTGCTGACTTTCAGGACTTAATGTGGCTGACTGGATGGTGTGTTTCACTTTACTGTTGATGAACTGGCCTGGGTTGTTATAAGTTGGGGAGAGATGAGTGGCTGACTCAAATAGGAGGGGCAGCCCTATTCCACAAACCTGCCTGTGTACCCTGCCTAAGCACCCAGCTCACCTTCCAGTTCTAGAAATGTATCCTTTGAGCTGCAGGTGTATTGGAGGATCTGTTGTGGGAAAACTCCTTTTTAGGGCTTTATACCCAAGAGTGCCAAATAGGTGTAAAAAGAAACTCCAGTGTTCAAGGAGCTTGTGCTTTAACTCTGATGAGCTCCAGAGAAGCACTTGGGAAAGAAGATTACTCTACTCTGGTGACAGGGTGTCAGGGTTCTGGCTGCTGTGTTTGGTTGGATTTGGCTTTGTGTTGGGACTTAAAACTGCCACATGTGTTGCTGGTGGCAAGCTTTGTCCAAGTGGGCCTGAGACTTCCACTGTAGTACCTGAAGGACACAAGCCCCAATGGATATGGAATGTTGTTAGAGAAAGGTAATATTATAGCTCCTCAGTGTGGTTTGGTGGCTGTTTTGTGGTAAAGGACATGAAGCATTGGTGCCCTATGACCCGACTCTCTGCTCACACACTGATATAGATGTGGTTTGGTCATGGCAATTTTGTATGGGAATTCAATTGTATTTCAAGATTTTATTATTGTTATTTTATAGTGGAGATCCACCCTAGGCCTTGAGCATGGTAGATAAGTACTCTGCCATTGAAATACTCTCTACCCTTTTTTAACTTTGATTTTGAGACAGTCAGATTCTTGATAAATTGACCAGTTTGCCATGTAACTCAGACAGATCTCAAGTCTCCTCTCACACTTTCTTGAGTGCTAGGATACAGTCCTGAACCACTGAACCTAGTTAAGTTGCAGATTTTTCTTTTATTTTTGTTTTTTGAGGCAAGGTCTCATGTAGCCCAGGCTGACTTCAAGCTTGATACATAGCTAGGGATAACCTTGGACTTCTGATCCTTTTGCCTCTACCTCCCAAGTGCGAGGATGACAGGGCTGTGCACCATCAGACCATGCACTTGTAACTTTTTAAATATATTACTTTATTTTTATGTGTGTGTGTGTGTGTGTGTGTGTGTGTGTGTGTGTGAGAGAGAGAGAGAGAGAGAGAGAGAGAGAGAGAGAGAGAGAGAGAGAGAGAGAGAACACAATGTGCTTACAGAGGCCAGAAGAAGGTGCCAGATCTCTTTGGAGCTGGAGCTACAGGCAGCTCAGTGCTGCCTGATGTGGGTGCTGGGAACTGAACTTAGGTCTTCTGGAAGAGCAGTACACACTCTTAACCAATGAACCATCTCTACAGCCTCTTTTGCAGGTTTTTAAACATGTGTGCAGGTAGTACGATGTAGTGAATACTCAGAAATTTTCTCTGGATGGTTCTAGAACATTCTAGAAAAAAATGAATTAACTTCTTTTTGTAGGTAGGCCTAATAAATTAAAAAAGATGGTGGTTTCATTACTGGATCACCATTCTTGTCACTGATGTCCCCAGAAAAGGACTTTGCATTACTTCTTTTTTTTTTTTTTTTTTTTTTTTTTGGTTTTTCGAGACAGGGTTTCTCTGTGTAGCTTTGCACCTTTCCTGGGACTCACTTGGTAGCCCAGGCTGGCCTCGAACTCACAGAGATCCGCCTGGCTCTGCCTCCCGAGTGCTGGGATTAAAGGCGTGCGCCACCACCGCCCGGCTGCATTACTTCTTTTGATTCAGGTTAACTTGATTCTCTCCT